AAACCCCATCTCTACTAAAAATACAAAATTAGCTGGGCATGGTGGCGTATGCCTGTAATCCCAGCTACAGGATGGTGCAGGAAAATCACTTGGACCCGGGAGGCGGAGGTTGCAGTGAGCTGAGATCGCGCCATTGCACCCAGCCTGGGCAACAAGACTGAAACTCCATCTCAAAAAAACAAAAACAAACAAACAAACAAAACATTTATTTTTATAAACACTATTGAGGCACTGGCAGAAATAGGAAGGCATACAGAAAAGTCAGGAACAAAGAATCTCAAGGTTTGGGGCCTAAATCATTGAATCTAATGTCTCTGAAACCATTAGATGGTAGTAAAATCAATTTAGTGTATAAGACTAGCAAGAGGAATAAAAAAGAGTAGAAGGTATCAGAGTATATCACAAGCAGCAAGTACTTTTTCCTGTATGTGTATACCAGATCACAATGTGAACCTGTATTTCTTAATGTGGATCACAGTGAAAGTTAGAAAGTCACCACCTGAAGTCTAACCACTACTTGACATTTGAATCAGTTCTGTATCTGTGTCTACATGACTGATTAATTTCTGACTTAAGGCATTTTATAAACAGTGCCAGCTCTATTTTTGGACATTGTGCTAGGCAGCTCTTCAAAATAATGAAAGACAAGAACCTAATAAAATACGACACAAAACGGTATCATCTCTTTCAATCTGAAAAATGACTACAAATGTTTTGTCTTAATCTATTGGTTTAAATCTTTCAGGAAATTCAGCATTCTAGAAGTGTTTTCTTGACTATGTTGCTGCAGCACTGGAAACAGTGTTGCTTATGAGCTCATCAAGTCATCACTAGTTTTGAAGATGTTCATTCCTAAGTTAGCCATCACCATTATTACCAGTAATATGTGTGAGTACCCACAGACCAGCTGAGGAGGGCAGCTTTCAGGTCTGTAAACAGTACTGAAAACATGAACTTAATTATCATAGTGCCAGCAGCCTCTAAATAGTACAAAATCATATACACCAAATTAGTTACAGCTTTAAAAACAAAGTCCAAAATAGTACATCTTTTTAACCTTTTTAAAAATGAACAATAATTGTGACTCATACTTTGAATAAAGCCAAATTATCTGAATTGTGGTTGCTGGTTGTTTGAATATCAACTAAAAGAAAATTAGGGTAATGACACTAAGTTGTTTGAGAAATATTTAATACATGTGCTGAATGCCTCAGGCAGAGTTGACAAAATTAAGATGTGTACAATGATCTTCCCAATAAACTGAATGTACTTTGGTAAATAATTAATATCATATAAATTTGTTACTGCAATTATATTTATTTATTTATTTATTTGAGACGGAGTTTCGCTCTTGTTGCCCAGGCTGGAATGCAATGGTGCGATCTCGGCTCACCGCAGCCTCCGCCTCCCGGGTTCAAGTGATTCTCCTGTCTCAGCCTACCGAGTAGCTGGAATTACAGGCATGCGCCACTAGCTAATTTTGTATTTTTAGTAGAGACGGGGTTTCTCCATGTTGTTCAGGCTGGTCTCGAACTCCTGACCTCAGGTGATCTACCCACCTCAGCCTCCCAAAGTGTTGGGATTACAGGCGTGAGGCGTGAGCCACGCACCCAGCCTGCAATTATTATTATTATTTATTTATTTATTTTTTTGGAGATAGAGTCTCATTCTGTCTACCAGGTTGGAGTGCAGTGGCATGATCTTGGCTCACGGCAACCTCTGTATCCAGGTTCAATCGATCCTCCCATCTCAGCCTCCTGAGTAGCTGGGACTACAGGTGGGTGCCACCATGCCTGCCTAAGTTTTGTATTTTTAGTAGAGACAGGGTTCCATCATGTTGTCCAGGTTGTTCTCAAACTCCTGAGCTCAAGCAATCCGCCCACTTCAGCTGGGATTACAGGTGTGAGCCACTGCACCCTTCCTTTGCTACTGCAATTGTTTTGAATGGTCCCCTTTACAAGCCTATGAGACATCTGACAACAGGAATTTTCTGCAGTAACTTTCTAGTCAACCATCAATATAAATAATTTCTGACTGCCAAGCTCTCCATAAAGTTCCAGCAATTTAAAAATTAATAATGCATAGTTTTTAATCTTAAGAGTTTCACAGACTAAGAGGGGAGAAAAAAATTTACAGTTGTGAGATACAGAGCAAAGCTAATAGAAGGGTGGAGACTACAAGTTAGAAACTGCTAACACCCAAGCTGTATTTTTTTTTTTTTTTTTTTTTGAGCCGGAGTTTCGCTCTTGTTGCCCAGGCTGGAGTGCAATGGCGCGATCTCAGCTCACCGCAACCTCCGCCTCCTGGGTTCAAGCGATTCTCCTGCCTCAGCCTCCCAAATAGCTGGGATTACAGGCGTGTGCCACCATGCCTGGCTAATTTTGTATTTTCAGTAGAGACAGGGTTTCTCCATGTTGGTCAGGCTGGTCTCGAACTCCCGACCTCAGGTGATCTGCCCGCCTCAGCCTCCCAAAGTGCTGGGATTACAGGCGTGAGCCACTGCGCCCAGTCCCAAACTGTATATCAAGGGATGACTTTGAAAGGTGAACAAGTGGGGAAGAACATTCCTGGATGAGGAAACTCATATAGAGCACGTATACAGGGGAGAAAAGTGCTGGCAGATAAGCTGGAGAGATGGGTTGGTACCTCATCATGGAGAGACTTTCATGCTAGGTTAAGTTGTTTACCCATGCCCAGGGTCGGGCATGGTGGCTCACACCTGTAATCCCAGCACATTGGGAGGCCGAGACGGGTGTATCACAAGGTCAGGAGATTGAGACTATCCTGCCTAACACGGTGAAACCCCATCTCTCCTAAAAATACAAAAAATTAGCCAGGTGTGGTGGCAGGTGCCTGTAGTCCCAGCTACTTGGGAGGCTGAGGCAGAGTGGTGTCAACCTGGGAGATGGAGCTTGCAGCGAGCCGAGATCGCACCACTGTACTCCAGCCTCCGTGACAGAGCCAGACTGTCAGAAAAAAAAAAAAAAAAGTTTAAATTGTATCTAGTATACAAAACAAGACCAATGAAAGTTGTTAGGCAGGAAAGAGAAGTGATTAGACTGGTCCTGGATGGAGTAAATAATGGAGACTGATAGGAGGTCAATTAAGGTATAAATTGAGGGCCTGAACAAGTTGTGGGGTACTGTCAAATGTTTGTTCAGTGCATACCATTGTATACCAGGTATAGTACATCTTTTAAAAAGGACCTTATAGTCAGCAGGTTAGATGATACTGAAAGATACAATGTGAGAATCTAAAGAAATTACAAGCATGTGGCCAGGTGCTGTGGCTCACTCCTGTAATCCCAGCACTTTGGGGAAGGCTGAGGCAGATGGATCCCTTGAGATCAGGAGTTTGAGACCAGCCTGGTCAACATGGTGAAACCCCATCTACTAAAAGTACAAAAAGTAGCCAGGAGTGGTGGCGAGTGCCTGTAATCCCAGCTACTAGGGAGGCTGAGACAAGAGAATAGTTTGAACCTTCCGGGAGGTGGAGGGTGCAGTGAGTAGAAATCGTGTTACTGCACTCCAGCTTGGACAACAGAGTGAGACTCTGTCTCAAAATAAACAAACAAACAGACAAGCATGGTGGGGAATGACTCCCAGAGTAGGTGATATTGAAGTTGAGAACTGAAGGAAAAATAAGATTTTAAAGATCTGAACTAATTTGAAGTACTTAGGGTATTTATTGTACATCCTGTATAATCCCTCCATACTCCTAAAGAAAACCATTTTCTTTTGCCCTCACTGTAAATCTACTGAAGCATCTAAAATAGTTATTAAATTAAAAAAAAAAATAATGTGATGAGGCCAGAATTAGGTTTCTCTCTTCTGTTCTCCCACAGCACATTATCTTTGCATCATTCGCACACCATTATAATTACTTGAAAATTTGGAAGAGATCCAAAGAATGGACAGATATTTAGGGGAGCCAGGAAGGAGACAGCACAAAAGGGAAGGAGTATAAAGTTCAATAATTTAAAATGGCAAATGCTTCAGAAAGTTCAAATAAAATCTCAGTACTGTAATTTACTGTAATTTGGAGGTCCTTGTTAATGATATGTTTGCAAGTTAAGTAAGAAATGCACAGTAGGCCAAAAATAAGATTGGACTTCCTATCAGAAAGCTTGGTTGAGAAGTGATGCTACAGAATTTTGTTCTTTTTTTTTTTTTTTTTTTTTAAATTAAGGAGGGAGAATAGAGAGTGTCTAATAGGCAAGGAAAGTAACTTGTCACGACTTATTACCATGGATACATGTATTAGTAACTTATAAACAATATTTCCTCTAGATATTTGCACATATATAATAGAATTAATGTTAATACATTTTCACTTATCCCTAGGAAAGAATTACTGATGCATACAAACTCTTAACATTTACACTGGAGGTGTATAAGGTATGAACCAGTCATTTCTGGTAATTTATTGGGATTAAGAGGGAAGGTTAGGACTGAATTAATTCATTTTCCAAAGAAAAAAGTCAGACAACATTTAGTATTTACCAGATTATCACTGGCATATTTCAGCAATTTTTTTTTATTTTTATTTTTTTTGAGACAGGGCAATACTCTGTTGCCCAGGCTAGGAGTGCGGTGGTGCCATGATGGTTCACTGCAGCCTCGACCTCCTGGGCTCAACTGATCCTCCCACCTCAGCTTTCTGAGTAACTAGGACTCCAGGTGCGCACCACCACGCCCAGCTAATTTTTGTATTTTTTTTATAGAGAAGGGGGTTTCACAACGTTTCCCAGGCTGGTCTCGAACTCCTGGGCTCAAGCAATCCTCCTGCCTTGGCCTCCCAAAGTTCTAAGATTACAGGTGTGAGCCACTGCACCGAGCTCCAGCAAGATTTTTACATTCTAAATTGGGTTATATTTGTAATAATGAATGTCACTGATAAGAGGAAGTGCAAGTACCAATATGTTCTTTACAGGCCTCATACTGTTGTTTTTCTTTTCTTTTTGTTTTCATTCTTGGTCATACTGCTGTTTTTCTTAGCCAATTTCTGGCCAAACTCCTCCTCACCACTTATTTTATGTATGCTGATTACTATGCTGTACTACTAAACTCGGCTCTCGTCTTGCCAGTTCACACCTTCCCCTAAGGCATAATAACCATTTACTGCTTAATTTTCGCTTTTCTGCTCTATCTTGCTGGGGTGGTGTAATAAAATTCCAGCTTAACCGGGTAAGTAAAATGGCTTGCCAATGATGATAAGGACCAGGTTTGTTTGGGATATGTAGCAGCACAGATTTAAAAGTAAATAAATAAAACAAGCCCATCTCAATCCTAACTTCCAGACACTGGTCAGGGTGATTGAAAACTGAAATTGTTCATGCTAACCAACGTTTTGCAGTTTCCACCTAACATTTTGTTCAGTTTGGTGCCTTCTTGTGCCTCTTATTTTTACAAACACAACTCAGAAGCCCTGATAACTTTAGAGAAGGCACATCCAAGTTTTTACTCATTCCAGATATTCCTGGATATAGCAGGAATTTGAAAACTATTATGTAATTATTCTACCTGTAACATCTGCTCATCAGATTTTAATATTCAAGCCTTGTGGCTTCAAGTCATTGCCTGTAACTGATCATCTTTACAAATGCAAGAGTCCCCTGAAACTGTCTCCCACCCATTAGGGTGCTCATACTAACAGCTAACCCACTAGACCCACTACAAGATTCAGTATTTGTAAAGCTGAAAACGTGGTTGTGGCGTTTACATTTTCATTCCGATCGGCCTAGCCTTCGCTCTCTTCTCTCTTGGATGTTTTCTTGCCTTACCTGGTCTGAGAAAAAAATGTGCCGCCTAACCCTTGCAGAGTTAACACGGGGACGCTTGCCAGATGCGTGCAGTCCCGGCGGTCCGGATACGTGGGGAGGTGGCGACAGGAACGCCTGGGCCAGGCGCTGGTACGTTATCCCGTTACAGACGTTGGCCTAGTCCGCAGGTTGCCCCTGGAGAGGCGACGGGGACACCAGGCCCTCGACTGGCTCCGCTCCTCCGCGACAGGCTGAGGGAGACAAGCTCTCTTTCGCCTGGGGACGATCCAAAGTTTGGTGGGTCGGCCTTAGTCAGGGCCTACTCGCTGTCGCAAAGAAGGTCAAACTCACCTTGGGAAAGTACGCGCCGGGACGGCAGCTAGCACCATAACAGGCAGCCCCAGCGGCGTCTCCCAGGGTCAGCCCAGGACAGCCAACATGCCCCGCCGCCCAAGAGCCGGAGGCGGGGCCGCCCCCTTCCCGGCAGGCTGCCGACTTCCGGACCTGCGTAGACGCCTATCTGCGTCTCCAGGCGCGCCCCTCCCCCGGCAGGCCGTTTCCCGGCATGCTCCGCGGAGGAAGAGACGGAGTCGACAATAACAAACCAAGCCGCGGCGGTGTCCGCGGCCCTGCCGAGCCCTCGGCGTTGCCTCAGGGTCCCCCAGTCGCCTGGGCCCCTCGGCTCTGACAGGCCGTGGCCCTCTGTCCCCCGGCCCCAGACCCAGAGCCGAGGGGCCTGCCCGCGTCCTTCTCCGCCCGGACCCCTCCCTCCTGCCTAGAGTTCGGGGTCGCGGCGGGCGGGCGCCCGGGAAGCCGGCGGTTGTGTCGGCTTAGCGGTGCCGAATGGGCGGTTGGTAGCCGCCGCCGAGGACTAGGCGGCGGCGGAAGATGGTGCCGGGGGTCGCTGGCTCTGCTGCTGCCGCCAGCGAAGGAGGAGGCGCTGCCGGGTAAGTGTCGCCGCCGCCCGCGTCCCCTTCCCCCATCTGGCACAGCGGTCGCGCGGCGGGCCCTGGCACGGTGGGCCGGGGTCGCGGGGTCCAGGGTTCCGGCCGGCCCGTGCCCGGCCCACGCGCAGGTGTGTGCACCCGAGGGCCCCGGCGCCTCCCGCCCCGGCAGGTGTTGCCCACTGGCCGCCTTCCCGGCGCGAGAGCCCCTTTGGAGACAAAAGCGGTTCGAATCGATGCTCCACCAGGCTGCGGGGGGTGTGGGTCGGGCTCTCTCGTTACGGGGCTGCCAGCGGCTTTCTCGGACGGAGCCTTGGGATCCCTCTCTCTGCGCTGCGGGTCAGCACCCGGCCTAGTTGCCGGAGTGGCCAAGGGCGAGGGACGTCCGAACCTCCCGAGACACATCCTGACTTGTGCTCATCGCTGCCAGGGATCAGCCCTTAATTCTGTGTTGGACTCGAGAAACGGGAGAGTGGAGTTTGGCCGAGGCCGAACGAAGCTCACCGAGTGGGAGGAACGGAGAGATGATGTCTTTGTCCCGACCCCAGAGTGCGAGGATCGGTATAAAGTTACTCCTAGGAATGACTCAGCCTGCGCCCGCCCCACGGATAGATTTGGGATGGGCGTGCACGCGGATTTTACAGCTTCCTTGGTAGAAACAAAAATACAGTAACCAACAGTAGAAATGGCAGCTTCTGAATGGAATATCTCTATAGTTTCTTCCACCGCCTGGTGGATGTGCTGTGTTTACTGTTTATGGTTTTGTAATCTAGTCTTTTCCATCATGACTCTTTGAAGTGTGGTCATACCTTGAAGTAGTGTAGACCTGGGTGCCAAAGAAGACTCATGTGCTCACTGTTGATAAAGAGTCACGTTACTACGAGACATTCAGCCAGATGGGAATGTTCTCAAGTCTGCTGCAAACATTTAAAGTGTACCTATTTGTTAACCATTTTACTGTGTAGTTTCTTAAATTTTTATGTTTTGATGAAGCTTTTATGATTTAAACGTAGGTTTGGACAGTTAGCAATTTAGGAAGACATTTAAATAGATTTGATTGTGTGTTTAATCAAGAATGTTATTACATTTTGGTAGACGATAAAAAAGAGGGTCCTTCCACTTCTGATCAGATAAAACTCTGAGAAACCAAAGGACTACTGAGGGAGGTGGCTGATTTTATTTTTTGGATTATTGGATCTATAAGCAGACCATTGCTAGGAATGTGAAAATATGTTCGCTTTTTATATTTGTTGTAACAGAATATAGCCCTAATGAAGATATTTTGTCAATAACATTCGTGTCATGTCTTTTAATGTTTGTGATTGTGTTCAAAACCTGGATAAAGTTTTATGCCAGGGATACTTTAGGCACATAATGCTTATGTGTAGAAACCTCTGTTGATGGAAAGTGGATATTGATGTAGTTCATGTTTTTAAAGTAATTTTATTTGATCTATTTTGAACTTTTTATGGTAATCAAGATATGATTATTTATATACCTAATCCTTTATATGTTTGTTATTGGACGACAGGGAAGACAATGAAGCGGTACTTTTGTCCCTGAGTTTTCTTTTAGCTCTTGCTGCCAAACACAAGATCAGGATGCATGGCAGATTTACTCTTAGCAAATCAAGTTCATAAAGGCAGAGGACACAAGACTTTTGTTTTCGAAATTTTGAACCTAAATTTTTGATTGTTAGCCTGAGAAAAGTTTTTAGACTCTATTTAAGATTAACTTAAAAATTTTAATCATGCATTCAGCAAATATTTGAGTACCTACATGCTTTACTTTGCAGATGTGTATGTCTTATGAATATCTTTTTAAAAGAATGTCTGATAAAATGTTCTCATTCAGGTAATGATATTTTCTAACTCCGGTTACACTTTTCTTTTGTAGTAATACTGGCCTAAGACACTTAGGTGAAAATCTAGCAATCCCTTTCAACACACTTTCACGATTCTTTTATTATCTTTTTACCACTGTGAGGTTTTTGAACTAGTTGCATGAGGAACATAAAAATGTTTAAGTAATTATTCTTGAGTAGAGACGGGGTTTTACCATGTTGGCCAGGCTGGTCTTGAACTCCTGACCTCAGGTTATCTGCCTGCCTTGGACTCCCAAAGCCCAGCCACTGATTGACTTTTGAATAAAGGCCCAAGAGAAGTAAGGGGTGTAAGTGTGTGACTCTCTTGAAAGGAATTTTGGTGGAAGAAACAGTAAGTGGAATGGCTCTGATATACATGGCATATACAAAGAAAAATGAAGTTACTGAGGCTGGGCTAGTATGAGAGAGGGGATAGTATTGGAAGATTGGGGGACTCTGCATATCCAGGTTTGGAAGTCATGGTAAGGAAACTAATGTACTCTAATTCAGCATGTGCAAAGGCCTACAGGTGAATTCAAGTAAACCCAGCATGGCTGGAAAGCAGTTGAAGCCAAATTCATCTCATTTATTCCTGAAATGCTAATTGAACCCCTGCAGCATACTCTTTTAGCTTCAGCAGTGCAACAGTGAACAAGAAATACGTATATGTCTATATACATTTATTTATAGGAAATGGGCAACCACTGGAAATTTTAATGGATGTAAATGACAAATGCAGATTTCTTTGAGAATGTAGAATAGATAAAAGACTAGCCAAGCAGATTGAATAGTGCTAGGTTGATGAGTTTTTGCTTAACTCACATAGGTAAAAGGATGTAAAGATTACTTGTCTCTGATTCTGTAATTTATTATGGACCAAATCAGCTTAATTTGACTGTAAACTGTACCCCCATTGTTTTGGGCCCTGAGAGGATGGCATTTCTTTCCATCCGTTTGTAAAGTTCCGGTTCTGTTGGATTACTTTTTGTAAATGCAGTACTTGAGTGGCTCCAAGTGCCCTCTTTCCTGGGTTAATTTGTTTCTGCTTTCAAAGCTGTTTAGTGAGTGCTTTGAGGATTGTGGAATAACAATCCTCGCCCATTTTTTTTTTTTCCATCCATGATTTTTTTCCACCCGTGATTTTGCTCTTCTGAATTCTCATATTTTATTGGCTTGTAATTGTGCTAGGAGATGAAAATAATTGTGATCCATTTCCTTTTTTTTGTCACTGATTTGAGACTGTTGACTCATTTTTTCCTTCACATTCCACACATTATACTTGTTCAGTAACTGTTCAGCATACCTGTTGAAATATTAATTCACTGCCATATTATTATTATAGTAATATAATGGCTTTTAGTAATTGTTTTACTGCAAATGCCAGATTTGGGCAGGCTGGTTTAATATTGTTATATGTTTATAGATAATCTTGGTTTAATAGAATGCAGCTAATTCTACATTTTCTTTTTTTCTCCATCTTCCCTGTGTTATATAATTCTATATTTGATATATAGATAATTTTGGTTTTACTCTTAGATTCCGTTATGAAATAAAACACGCAACTAGAAAATTTTCACTAAAATCATGCATTTTATGTAGTTTTTATAAATGATAGGGACACCAAAATGTGTAATGCATTCATATGTAGTGATACAGAAAGAGTTCTGTTGTTTTATGCAGTTCAAGCAAAGTCCATAGTAGTATGTAGGGTGTTACCTCATTTTTATAAAACCATATTGCCTGAGTATACACATATACTTCCTTTACACCTAGGGAAAAAAACTTAAGGGTGTACGCCAAAGTATTTTTCATTTTTGTTTCAAACGTATTCCTGTTCTGCTATTTTTACCTCGTTTGCTGTCTTTGGGCACTACCTTATAAATGTTCGCTTCATTCTTTTGGTGAAGTTGCTTGTCTAGTTTATAGACAAGGCATATATTTAGGAAAGTCTGACCTTTTATGAAAAAGGTTTTCTTTCAGGGAAATGTTAGGAAAATGCCTGACCTACTCATCTTTCATTCTTTTTCTTTTTCTTGACAGAGAAGGGGTAGGATCAGATTAGAATGCATCTGATTTGGGGAGACTGCCCAGTTTTCAGTCCCTGGGCAACCTAGACACTCCATTTGTGGAGGACATTATCTCCATTGATGCAGTAGCCCGTGACCCCTCAATGAGGGAGAAATGCTAATAATTGCAGTTTACAGAACTAGAGATCAGGCAAAATTATTTCCAATCATCTTTTCTCTCTGAAGGTTTTAGTCCACTTTAGGGTTATCTAAGTCTCATGTGTTCTATTCAGCTGGAAAGCATCTTGAAGATATTTGTATTTCAGGCACCTAGCAGTGTCTGGCTTATGTTAGATGCCCCCAAAATAGTGGATGAATAATGAATGTGTCCAGTTTTGAAGGTCAGAGATTGTCATTGGGGTGTCCCCCGTCACCTTCTCATATAAGGAAGCAAATACTATTTTTTTGTTTGTTTTTGTTTTTTTAGGCAGAGTCTTACTTTGTCCCCCAGGCAGGAGTGCAATGGTGTGATCTAGGCTCACTACAACCACTGCTTCCTGGGCTCAGGTCATCCTCCCACCTTAGCCTCCCAGTAGGTGGGATTACAGGCGCGCACTACCACTGCTGACTAATTTTTGTATTCTTGTAGAGGCGGGGTTTCACCATGTTGCCCAAGCTTGAACTCCTGGCCTGAAGTGAGCCACCCACCTCGGCCTCCCAAAGTGCTGGGATTGCAGGCATGAGCCACCATGTCCAGCCTAATTCTAAGTTTTGACTGTATTAGAATAGTTGACAGTAAGGCTGGGATAATTGACTATCATCGTGGTGGTAATCTCTCAAGAGAAAATTGTAAATTAATCTCCAGTTGATAAGTTGGATACATTTTAATGAGTATGTGAGATACTTTCTGGTTCTTTTCCTCGAATATGGGTATATGTGGATTCAGTTGTTATCCGTGTACATCTGGAAACAAATGCACTGGGGTCAGTATATTTTTATTTTTATTTTTATTTTTTAAGATGGAGTTTCACTCTTGTTGCCCAGGCTGGAGTGCAGTGATGCAATCTCAGCTCACCACAACCTCCGACTCCCGGGTTCAAGCGATTCCCCTGCCTCAGCCTCCTGAGTAGCTGGAATTACAAGCATGCACTGCCACACTCAGATAATTTTGTGTTTTTAGTAGAGATGGGGTTTCTCCATGTTGGTCAGGCTGGTCTCAAACTCCTGACCTCAGGTGATCCGCCCACCTCGGCCTCCCAAAGTACTGGGTGGCATGAGCCACCGCACCCTGTTGGATCAATGTTTTTTTAAATACACCTCTCTTCTCCCCTTCATTTATAGCTGACTGTATCCCAGGAGGATTTAGGAGGAACAGATGTCCTCATAATGAGAGATAGGTTTTTTCCCCCCCAGATAAGAGAATTCCTGCTATCTTATATTAATTACTTAAGAATTCTGTAAATTCAGAGAAGGGAGAAAGAATATTGTAAGCCGCCTGTGATAAGGGAAGACTTCCCAGAAGTGGTAATAGGACAATACTTGGACTTTTATTTGTTTTTTGTTCTTTGTTTTTGTTTTGAGACGGAGTCTCACTCTGTCGCCCAGGCTGGAGTGCAGTGGGGCGATCTCTGGGTTCATGTCATTCTCTCGCCTCAGCCTCCCGAGTGACTGGGACTACAGGCGCCCGCCACCATGCCCGGCAAATTTTTTTGTATTTTTAGTAGAG